AGTATTTAACAATATCGGCTAAATATGGTTAGAATTATATTGTTTTCCAGGTTCATTACATTTAGTGGGTATGTTTGATAATATGTAGTTGAGAAGCACAAGGGGAATGCGTATTTTAGGCTGATTTTAGGCAGAATTTGTTAAGTTTGTTTTATCTTTTAAAACTTTTGTATGCATGCTTTATGTAACATTGAGCTGGTCTTTGGCTCTTTTCTGCTGTAACAATGTAAATTTCCCCTCTCTGGGACTAATAAAGGTTTCTGATTCTGATCTTTTCTTAATTCTCAAAGACGCTTTGCATAAAATCAGAACAGAAACAATATAAAAGTTTCTGTGTCTTTTATGACTATTCATAAAAGACTCAGCGAATAGTCAGATTATCTATATTTAACATGATTAATAAATAATTTCTCAAGATATAAACATGCAATTGACATCTCTAAGCTGTTGACCAATCACAACAGAGCCGGCCAGCTAACCAATCAGAGCAGACTGGGCTCTGGTCTCAGACAGAGGGTGAAAAGAGGTGCTGCAGCACAGGCAGTATGAGAGAATAAAGAGCTTTTTGAACATTAAAGCATGGAGACATGTCCCAGTAGAGACACTAACCTGAAACCTGAAAATGAGCATAAAGGGCCCCTTTAAGTTTAGGTTGGGAGGTTTTCAGTCACATTTATTTGCTTTACAGTAACCACTTATGAAGCTGGTGAGATGCCAGGTGATGTTTTGAGTGTGTGCAGCGAGAAAGCGTCATTAGGCAGACCTGTTTGTGTGTGAATCTTAGTGGAAAATCATCCCATCATACCAGATGTCTCTCCTGGGGCCGGAGTGGGACATCATCCAGCAGGGTTAGAGTTTAACTAAGCCCTTTCAGCTCTGCAGCACAAAAACAACTTATATGATCCCTCCTGATGATGAATACATCACTACGGTTTTTTTATGCAATATTTGCAGAAAAAGATTGTTGATTAATGTCCGGTCTAAGTTGCATCTACTCCATTGTGCATGATCCCCTGTGGAAAAAGTCTTACGAAGATTATGCAATCTACAGTATTTCTTGGATGCAAGCCAAAGCCAATCAATTAGGCTGGACATGCTTTGCACACACATCACCAAGGCTACTATCGCCATAAACAATAAGGCCACTTACACAACTTTAATATATGGACCTGTTCTCCATGACGTCCCTATAGGTTTCCGTTGTGATAGCATGATTTAACCGGACGGACAAGTTCTATAAAGATTCAACCGGTACAGTTGTCTTGAATCGGGATCAAGATTGTTAACATGCTTCTGCTGTAAAGTTGGGGATTTTAACATGGGGTCTAAAGACACAAGTTCTTATATTAAAGAGGACATATTATTCACATTTTCAGGTGTATATCAGTATAGTGTCTCTACTTTAAAGAGTCCTCTCCTGCTGATGTTCAGGTGTATATCATTATGTAGTGTCTCTACTTTAAAGAGTCCTCTCCTGCTGATGTTCAGGTGTATATCAGTATGTAGTGTCTCTACTTTAAAGAGTCCTCTCCTGCTGATGTTCAGGTGTATACCAGTATGTAGTGTCTCTACTTTAAAGAGTCCTCTCCTGCTGATGTTCAGGTGTATACCAGTATGTAGTGTCTCTAATTTAAAGAGTCCTCTCCTGCTGATGTTCAGGTGTATATCAGTATGTAGTGTCTCTACTTTAAAGAGTCCTCTCCTGCTGATGTTCAGGTGTATATCAGTATGTAGTGTCTCTACTTTAAAGAGTCCTCTCCTGCTGATGTTCAGGTGTACTGTATATCAGTATGTAGTGTCTCTACTTTAATGAGTCCTCTCCTGCTGATGTTCAGGTGTATATCAGTATGTAGTGTCTCTACTTTAAAGAGTCCTCTCCTGCTGATCTTCAGGTGTATATCAGTATGTAGTGTCTCTACTTTAAAGAGTCCTCTCCTGCTGATGTTCAGGTGTATATCAGTATGTAGTGTCTCTACTTTAAAGAGTCCTCTCCTGCTGATGTCCCAGGTGTATATCAGTATGTAGTGTCTCTACTTTAAAGAGTCCTCTCCTGCTGATGTTCAGGTGTATATCAGTATGTAGTGTCTCTACTTTAAAGAGTCCTCTCCTGCTGATGTCCAGGTGTATATTCAGTATGTAGTGTCTCTACTTTAAAGAGTCCTCTCCTGCTGATGTCCAGGTGTATATCAGTATGTAGTGTCTCTACTTTAAAGAGTCCTTTCCTGCTGCTGATGTTCAGGTGTATATCAGTATGTAGTGTCTCTACTTTAAAGAGTCCTCTCCTGCTGATGTTCAGGTGTATACCAGTATGTAGTGTCTCTAACTTTAAAGAGTCCTCTCCTGCTTGATGTTCAGGTGTATACCAGTATGTAGTGTCTCTAATTTAAAGAGTCCCTCCTGCTGATGTTCAGGGTGTATATCAGTATGTAGTGTCTCTACTTTAAAGAGTCCTCTCCTGCTGATGTTCAGGTGTATATCAGTATGTAGTGTCTCTACTTTAAAGAGTCCTCTCCTGCTGATGTTCAGGTGTACTGTATCATGTATGTAGTGTCTCTACTTTAAAAAGAGTCCTCTCCTGCTGATGTTCAGGTGTATATCAGTATGTAGTGTCTCTACTTTAAAGAGTCCTCTCCTGCTGATGTTCAGGTGTATATCAGTATGTAGTGTCTCTACTTTATAAGAGTCCTCTCCTGCTGATGTTCAGGTGTATATCAGTATGTAGTGTCTCTACTTTAAAGAGTCCTCTCCTGCTGATGTTCAGGTGTATATCAGTATGTAGTGTCTCTACTTTAAAGAGTCCTCTCCTGCTGATGTCCAGGTGTATATCAGTATGTAGTGTCTCTACTTTAAAAGAGTCCTCTCCTGCTGATGTCAGGTGTATATCAGTATGTAGTGTCTCTACTTTAAAGAGTCCTCTCCTGCTGATGTTCAGGTGTATATCATATGTAGTGTCTCTACTTTAAAGAGTCCTCTCCTGCTGATGTTCAGGTGTATAACCAGTATGTAGTTGTCTCTACTTTAAAGAGTCCCTCTCCTGCTGATGTTCAGGTGTATATCAGTATGTAGTGTCTCTACTTTAAGAGTCCTCTCCTGCTGATGTTCAGGTGTATATCAGTATGTAGTGTCTCTACTTTAAAGAGTCCTCTCCTGCTGATGTTTCAGGTGTATATCAGTATGTAGTGTCTCTACTTTAAAGAGTCCTCTCCTGCTGATGTTCAGGTGTACTGTATATCAGTATGTAGTGTCTCTACTTTAAAGAGTCCTCTCCTGCTGATGTTCAGGTGTATATCAGTATGTAGTGGTCCTCTACTTTAAAGAGTCCTCTCCTGCTGATGTCCAGGTGTCTATCAGTATGTAGTGTCTCTACTTTAAAGAGTCCTCTCCTGCTGATGTTCAGGTGTATATCAGTATGTTAGTGTCTCTACTTTAAAGAGTCCTCTCCTGCTGATGTCCAGGTGTATATCAGTATGTAGTGTCTCTAACGTTTAAAGAGTCCTCTCCTGCTGATGTCCAGGTGTATATCAGTATGTAGTGTCTCTACTTTAAAGAGTCCTCTCCTGCTGATGTCCAGGTGTATATCAGTATGTAGTGTCTCTACTTTAAAGAGTCCTCTCCTGCTGATGTCCAGGTTGTATACAGTATGTAGTGTCTCTACTTTTAAAGAGTCCTCTCCTGCTGATGTTCAGGTGTATATCAGTATGTAGTGTCTCTAGCTTTAAAGAGTCCTCTTCCTGGCTGATGTTCAGGTGTACTACCAGGATGTAGTGTCTCCTACGTTAAAGAGTCTCTCCTGTAGCTGATGTTCAGGTGTATACCAGTATGTAGTGTCTCTAATTTAAAAGAGTCCTCTCCGGCTTGATGTTCAGGTGGATATCAGTATGTAGTCTGTCCTCTACTTTAAAGAGTCCTCTCCTGCTGATGTTCAGGTGTATATCAGTATGTAGTGTCTCCTACTTTAAAGAGTCCTCTCCTGCTGATGTTTCAGGTGTACTGTATATCAGTAATGTAGTGTTCTCTACTTTAAAGGAGTCCTCTCCTGCTGATGTCAGGGTGTATATCAGTATGTAGTGTCCTACTTTAAAGAGTCCTCTCCTCTGATGATCCAGGTGTCCTATCCGTATGTAGTGTCTCTACTTTAAAGAGTCCTCTCCTGCTGATGTTCAGGTGTATATCAGTATGTAGTGTCTCTACTTTAAAGAGTCCTCTCCTGCTGATGTCCAGGTGTATATCAGTATGTAGTGTCTCTACTTTAAAGAGTCCTCTCCTGCTGATGTCCAGGTGTATATCAGTATGTAGTGCCTCCATGCTTTAATGTTCAAAAAGCTCTTTATTGTTCTCATACTGCCTGTGCTGCAGCACCACTTTTCACCCTCTGTCTGAAACCAGAGCCCAGTCTGCTCTGATTGGTTAGCTGGCCGGCTCTGTTGTAATTGGTCAAACGCTTAGAGATGTCCCGCCTCTTAGCCTATCACGTACAATGTGTTGGAGCACTAGCCAATTGAAGCGCGAGTGTACGTACGTAGTGACGTCCTTTACAGAAAAAACAAAGGAGTCCAGTTGAGGTGTTTCGGGCAAAGGGGGGGAGTGTGTGGGAGAGAAACTCCCTCTGGAGTGAACACAGGGATTTCATGCACACAAACCTATATAACACACTACAGGAAAGGAAAACCCCCCAAAAAAGCCTCATAAAGAGTTCAGAATTATTTGAGAAACTAAAGTCACACTAACCAAGCCTTAGACTAAAAAATATTTGCAGACAAAAATGATACAGGGTAATACAGTAAATGTATGATAAAAATATATCTTCCTGTCAGGAGGCTGGGATAAGTGTATATGTGTGTGTGTGTGTGTGTGTGGTGTGTGTGTGTGTGTGTGGGTGTGTGTGTGTGTGTGGTGTGATGTGAGAGTGAGAGGAGGGGGGAGGGGACAAGAGCTGGACAAGCTGTAAATGCTGTGTGTTTCTGTCCTTCTGCATTTGATGATAGAATTGAAAGGACCCACACCCGGTGAAATTGGACAGATGTTTTAATAACCGGCTATCTTTCTTAAACATGACGTGAGATTGGATTAACGCATCGGGACAATATCGGCTGTTTCATCTTCTGTTGATCAAACATGGCATGGCGTTGTCACTTATAGGAGGTCTTAACGTTTGTTTTTTAGCATCTGTGCAAATCTCAGTTTCTTTTCTAATTGTGCAAATAACACATTTGCAACAATATCAGCTTTATGGATTTTAAATTGTAATCGTTTTTTTCAAGATTATTAACAGACAGAGATGGGAAGTAACAACGTTTATATTAATAGACTTGAAATGTTGGAACTACATTTGACCATCCCTGCACACCTTTTCTTTGAATAAAGGTTAAATATTATTTGTTAGAGAGATATCTTTGTGTGTAAGACTTACAGTAGTGGCATTTTTTTGCCATCTGACTTCTCATCTTATTCAGGTATAATTTTGTGTCACACAGACATCAACAATGTGATAGTTTGAGCAGCTTTAGTTAACAACTTGATTTCTCCCTATTGAAATAGTTCTGTTAAAATACTTCTTCTACGGGGAAATTATTTTTAGATTGCAAAGATTTGCTTTTCAAAGTAACTCCCTGAAAATGTCATATTTAAGTGGACATGCGAGCGCTGAGGCGGCCGTTAGCATTTCTCCTGACAGCATGAACTCCCATGAACCACCGACAGAAAGCATCATGCGGCCTCGAGTGATGGGTTTTATCCTCAGCATCGCTTCTGGCCTCATCATCTCCACCAACCTGCTTGTGGCCGCCGCTCTCCTGAAGCTGCTCCTGAAGAAGAGGAGCCAGAGCTGGGTCTTCGTCCTCAATTTAGCACTAGCCGACGCCCTGGTGGGAGTGGCCATCACCGGCCTCGCCACCGAGGACTTCAATGTCAATAGCGTCACTTCTGATCCTCCAACAAACTCAGAGCCTCCAGCCAGAGGTGGGAAGTAGTGGAGTACAAATACTTCGTTACTGTACTTACATTTCTTCTGGTATCAGTACTTTACTCCACTACGTATATTTCTGACGACTTTTTACTTTTACTTTACATTTTGAACACAAATACCTGAACTTTCTACTTCTTACATGTTGAACTCAAATAACTGTACTTTCTACTTCTTACATGTTGAACACTAATACCTGTACTTTCTACTTCTTACATGTTGAACACAAATACCTGTACTTTCTACTTCTTACATGTTGAACACAAATACCTGTACTTTCTACTTCTTACATGTTGAACCCAAATACCTGTACTTTCTACTTCTTACATGTTGAACCCAAATACCTGTACTTTCTACTTCTTACATGTTGAACACAAATACCTGTACTTTCTACTTCTTACATGTTGAACCCAAATACTTGTACTTTCTACTTCTTACATGTTGAACCCAAATACTTGTACTTTCTACTTCTTACATGTTGAACACAAATACCTGTACTTTCTACTTCTTACATTTTGAACACAAATACCTGTACTTTCTACTTCTTACATGTTGAACACAAATACCTGTACTTTCTACTTCTTACATTTTGAACTCAAATACCTGAACTTTCTACTTCTCTCATTTTCCAAACAGCTGGTTCCTTTAGTCTGAATGTGTGTTTGGTGCGTGATCATTATTCTTTAGAGTCATTGCGTGCCTATGATTTGAACCACGATCCGTGTATCCATCATTTCCTGGTCTTCTCGAAAGAAGAGGGACCAATGGAAACGTTGTCATGTTGCCGTGTTCAGCATGGAAACATTCATTAGCTAACAATGACATTATTGTTCTATTAATATAAAGGGAGGTCAGGTACTCTTTAAAACAGCTGCTAGTTATGGGTACTTTTTACTGAAGTACATTTCAAAGCCCTCTTTACTTTTACTTGAGTAAAGAAGTTTAGTATTTTTAAACACAAGTATCTGTACTTCTACTTGAGTAAAGGATGTGTGTACTTTTGCCATCTCTGCCTCCAGCTCAGGGAAAGATCAGGTGTTTGATGCGGATGGCCTTCGTGACGTCGCCCTGCACAGCATCCATCATGTCCATGTTCCTCATCTCGCTGGATCGCTACGCAGCCATCAAGATGCCCCTGAGATTACTCCCAGCTGGCGGGGAAGGGGACAGCGGTCGGGTCCCTGCTGGCTCTCTGGATCAGCTCCCCTCACCCTGGGGTTCTGCCAGGTGAGATGAAGAAAATACAAAAATGTATGGGATAAATAAATCGTCCTCCCTCTGATCATGCATGTAGTTCTAAAAGGCACAGTTACCTTATTTTTAAGTTACTACCTGCTCACGGCTGCAGCTGATTGGCTGAAGTGTTTTTTTCTGTACCTTGAGAGGTTTAAGGGTGTTTTCCTGATATAATCGGCCAGATTGTTCAGATTCCCATTGTGCACGTAATTGCTGCTTTCTACACCAGAATAAGATACATTCAATATATTTTCCTTCAGCTCCCTCACCCTGGGGTTCTTGCCAGGTGAGATGTAGAAAATATATGAATTGATGGGACTAAAGACAGACAGAAAATAGTACATCGTTGTCATACTATGATGACTAGGATGTGTGTTTGTAGGCTTGGAGTTGCTGAAGACTGATTGTGTTTTTATGAGACGCACCAAATGACTACAATGTCAACTCATTAACAGCGTTTTTAGATGGTCAGAGCATCTCTGATTCTAGGTTCAAGAGTTGGTTGGGCGAGTCAAATAAGCACAGGGCTTTCATCCAGGCACACTGTTTTTGCCTATCGTATAAACATTGATTTAGGGGTTCTTGTTTAACTGTTGTTACCTCTTTTCTTTAACCTAAGCAAGTCATTGTGTTGTAAAGCTAAACTTAACATTCCATTTTGATGTATGCATGTAACGAGCCGAATCAAGCCATTGATCGGTACTTAAGATGTTGGGAGTGACGCAAAAGGTTACTTGAAAAGGAAGAAATTCTAAAATGGTTATGAAAGTTTTTTTGACCAAATGTTCTGGTTGGCATATTGACTATGAGAAGTGTCACATGACCGATCATCTTTTTGTCTCTGTTCCTCAGTGATGGTGCGGCAGCTCCAGGCGAAGGATTACGGCGGCTACTGTGCCTTTTTCTCCGTCATTAACCACATGGGCATAATCATGTTGTTCAGCGCGTGCTTCTTCCCCGTGCTCTCTGTATTCGTTTACATCTACCTGGACATCCTGAAGATCGCCTGCAGCCACCAGAAGCAGATCTGCCAAGTTAGCAGGCCGGTTGCGAGGACGGGTGACCGCCAAGATTACGAGAACCATCACCACCAGCCACACCAGCAGCTGAGGAGCCACTACTGGAGCCACGTCAAGGCCCTGAGGACAGTGGGGGTGTTAGTGGGCTGCTTCTTGGTCCTCTGGTGCCCCTTCTTTGTGGCATGTATCGTGCATCTTCTGTGTGAAAGCTGCCAACTCAAAGGCGTCTTAGAGAATTATTTGTGGTTGTTGGGACTGGTCGAACTCTCTGATCAACCCCCTGGTGTACGCCTTCTGGCAAAGGGAGGTGCGACTGCAGTTAGCCTCCTTGTGCTCCTGCTTTAGGGCGTTGGCTGCTAGGCCTCCATGTTTCACAGAGAGATGTGACCCCCAGCCTCCTGTGCTGAATCAAGCTGGTGCTCCTGCTGGAGAAAACCTCAACCCCGGTCGTTGTTGCGGGCGATTTCAGTCAACGACAAGGCCCAACTGTGCCACTATCTGTCTCCACCGGATTGTGAAAGGAACCAGTGAAAAGGTGGCAACAAAAACATGGCTAGACAGAGAGTCATTGTTAATTTCAGATAATGGAAACTATTGATGTGTTTCAAATTGTGTAGTACTACTGTTCTTTGGCTTGCTGTTTTGAGTGTGTAAGTGAGTCCCAATGCAAAGTATGTCAAAATGCTCTAAGAACCTGAATTGTGCACTCAAAACAGTCAAATAATATGAGTGTGGGACGCTGCACACATCTCACACTTAAAAACCGCCATTTGGCTACGTAAAGGAAGTTGGTAAGACAAGCAGTGATTGAGGTTCCCTTGGAAACAAAGCCCTATACAAATAAGAGTAACATAATATTATTTATTTCACTATTTAAGGTAACAGACCTATACTGGGTGCCAAAGGAATCCGCTGTGATTTTGATAGGGTTAATTGAGCAGTCTGTAATGATGTGCTACCGCTAACAATTGCTGCTAGCTAGCTAACAACGGCTATTGTGATTTAACACAACAATACATGGTGGAAATTCACGCACTGCAAAAATATGAAGTTGTACTAAGAGAAGTAATCAAATTGAGATACAGCATATGAGATAGCAAGATGATAAGTAAGCACCAATTCATTAAACACTAAATCTGATTATATCTAAAGCAATGTTGTTGCTGAAATGTAGACCCTTACCTAAATCTCTCTGCATTTCCTGTGATGCCATGTCAGGAATCCAGTGGGCTTAATGCAGGAAGCAAAGTACGAACATTGTATTTTTTATTTACTGATGGGTCAGAGGTCAGTGGCAGTAACGGAAGAGGCAAGGGTTGAATAGTTTCACAGGGTTGTTGTTGGGAAAATACTGAATGTTCCTTCTATATCAGAGTAGCACATGATAACAGAGGCCATACGTAGCTGTGTACATAGCCGGATGTATGACTACATGGATGACGCTCATGAGACACTGTTGAAGTTATGATAGATGTTCCTAAGATTGGCATGATGACACAGCCCCTAGACAGACAGGCATATGACTGTCATGTGTATTGCTTACGCAGGCCTTAGCTAATCTTAACTAATGTCAGAATACTGCTTTGAACCGGTATTCCTCCATCTTGCTGACTGCAACACCCTCTCTTGTATATAAGCATATCAAGGACTATTTGTCCCACGCAGCCCTGTGTGTGATGACTACTTCCATTCTTGCAAGGATAGTAAATACATGTATCCTGATATTGAAGACCAAGCCGGTGACGAGTGACATTTGGTCTAACAGTTTGTAATCCACAAGGCTCCACAATGGGACTTTTCACACTGAATTTAATATCCTGCAGAGACACTGTGCAGCCGGGAACAAACCCACCAGACAGTGGGCTGTGATGTTAATAAACCAAAAGAAAGAATCAATAAATAATTTATGGTCTGACTGAAACTGGAAATGTAAGAGTAATTTTCTTTTTTTTGCATATATATACTAGGTTACACCAGGAACTCATATTCTCATCCAGCATTTATAGGGCCCATGTCATGCTTTTCCCGGTTATTACCCGTCCCCTTGTGTGTTATGGAAGGTTTTTTCTGCATGTAAACGGTCTGCAGAGGTCAAAAACCCTCAAAGTACACCTGTTAGAACACAGAAAAGACCTGTCTGTGCTGCCACCAGAACGCCTGGTTGGAGATTTCTCTTTTTCCAATGTTTTCTTCCTGGGTATCGTGACTGTGCCCATAACCAAATGAACATCAATGACCGGATTGGTCCAAATAGATCAATCTGCGGAGCTCCTCACACACCAGGATCCCTTGGCTAACTAACAGGGAGTCCTCATTGACTTGCATAGAGCTCCTTGAACGCTGCAATAGACGAGTTGGGATGGTGGAGAAATGCTCATCCGCAGACCCGTTCTCACAGCGTTAGAAAACCTTTTTCTTTTCTCAATATCAAGCCACACTTATTGTTTTTACTTCGGCTGTGAGTGTTTGTGTGTGCTCAGGATGAGTTTCACTTGTTCTCGCTGTATCGCCAACCCGGAAACCACACCGCCAGCGAGCTCACACTGCAGCAACGAGCCTCGCAACGTCCCGACCAATCAGAGCACACTGGGCTCACAGGGAGGGGGAGGGGGGCAGGAGCTCCAACAAGCCGTTTAGGACAGAGAGTGAATACACACACTATACAGAGATGCTGTATGAGAAACCAATGGGATTTTGGAAAATTGCACAATTTAAATATATTCTAGTCGACCTCAGCAATGGAAACATGATCAGTAAAAATGGCCATGACATGGGACCTTTAAGTCCATCTTTATACACCACCTTATTTTGGTCATTATATCTTTCCTATCTCTCCTATGCCAGTTATATTGGGGCAATAAAGATCAAAGATAGTGTGCAGCAAAGGTCATGAGACAAACTGGAACCCATGACATTATGCATGATTTGTATGCCTTGTCCCTGCTTGTTTTATACTGCTTTATGACATCCATATGATTTATTTAGCTCTGCTGTTTATCCTTTGAGCGGCTATCGCACACTTAATATTTCAAAGCTGGATAACTATTCAGTCATGGCAACTTCCTCTGCTGCTTGAAGCTTGATAAATATCGTCCACTTTAAGTGTCAGCAGCCTGTATCAACAAAGCGCATGTCAGGGATGTCTGTTTACTTTAGACTGCAGTGTCTACATAAAGCTAATCAGCTGAGGCGGAAACGGACCTTCAACCATCCTTTTATATCAGTGAAAATCTTGCTATTCTACCCATCTCTGATGAGGCATGCGCAGAAGTAAATAGCAGCAGAAATGCATGGTCTAAAACACAATTAAAACACAACAAAATGCAAAATATTTATTTTAAAAATGCTGAAAAAAAGAAAATCAATGGAGAAAAATACCATTGATTTTTAACAATGTTTCAGAATTTCAAGTACACAGGAATGCTCTCTGGAAATGTTATGACTGCAAATCAAACTTCAACTCAACTACAAACTCAAACAGGTATGAGGTTATGTTATGGGAGTGTGTGTGGTGTGTGTGTGTGTGTGTGTGTCTGTGTGGTGTGTGTGTGTGTGTGTGTGTGGCCTAGCATTACTATACTTGTGGGGACCTACATCTGTTTACACAGTCACGTGTGGGGACTCGCCTCCCTTATGGGGACAAAATGGAGGTCCCTATAAGGGGAATCATTAATTTTAGGTTGAAGACTTGGTTAGGGTTAGGGTTAGGGTAGAGTTAGGGTTAGGCATGTGTGGTTATGGTTAAGGTTAGGATAAGTCTCCAGGAAATGCATGAAAGTCAATGTAATGTCCCCTGAAGTGATGTATACATGGTATGTGTGTGTGTGTGTTTGTGTGGGTGTGTGTGTGTGTGTGTGTGTGTGTGTGTGTGTGTGTTAGCTTCGCTGCTTCTGCATCCTCAGCGGGTTGAAGAACGGATGCCACAGCGCCTCCTCCAGCGTGATCCGTCTGTACACGTCGTACTCCAACATGGAGCCCAGCAGGTCGAAGAAATCCTCCTCGGTTTGATCATGCATGTAGTTCTAAAAGACACAGTTACTTTAATTTAGTTACTTCCTGCTCACGGCTGCAGCTGATTGGCTGAAGTGTTTTGCTGTACCTTGAGAGGTTTAAGGTGTTTCCTGATATAATCGTCAGAAGTGCTGCTTGTGTCCCAGTTCAGATGCCCGTTGTGCACGTAATGCTGCTTTCTACACAGAATAAGATACATTCACATATATTTAGGAACGATATACTAACATTCATATGTGTGCATACAATGCAACATTCACAACATGGGTCTCACATAATGGCCTTTAATATTTAAAAGATTGAATATATCTATATATAAATAATAGAACTTGTTACAATTCCAAGTTTATCAAGATTATACTTTTACGTAAAGGCAGAAAAAATGATGTTTAGGATTCTCTTCTTTCTGTGTGTGTGCGTGTGTTCATGTGTGTGTGTGTCTTTGTGTGTGTGTTACCTGGTTTTTTTTTCAGCAGGTGGGGAGGAATCGGCGCCCAGGATTGTCTCCATCATAGCCAGATGCTCTTTACTGTCGTGGGTCTAGAACAAACAAAAACGCAGGGTAAAAAAGACGTACAAATGTTTCAGTTTTGTCCAGATGTGTGTGTTTAAGTGTGTGTGTGTGTCTGTACCCGGGAAGACTGTGCATCCCCAGGTAAAACTCCATGAGAACGCAGCCCAGACTCCAAACGTCACACGACTGGTTCCAGCCCAAACCTGTGCACAAAAACAAAGTTAAAACAAAACTTTAATTTCTGCAAACTGCATTTCATGTGCAGTTTGTGTGTGTGTGTGTATTGTTTGTATGGTGTATGTGTGTGTGTGTGTGTGTGTGTGTGTGTGTGTGGTGTGTGTGTGTGTGTGTTTGTGTACCTAGGATGACCTCTGGAGCTCGGTAGTGGCGTGTTTGACACCAGTGATTCATGTTTTTGGTGGTCAAATGTGGCCGTGCCCAAAATCCCCACCTTTAAATCACAGACTCCTTAGCGTCTTCTCCTTACACTCCCTAAAACACACACACACACACACACCACACACACACCACACACACACCACACACACACACACACACACACACACACACACACACACACACACACACACACACACACACACACACACACACACACACACACACACACACACACACACACACACACACACACACACACACACACTGTCTAACACACTATCCAACTTGAGATGTAGAGCACAATGTGTTTTATTTGTTTTAACTATCCTTACCCTTTTCTCGTTGTTACTGCAGGTCGTAGTCGGAGCAGACAAACAGGATGTTCCTCTGGGCTTCAGGTCTGTGTGCGTCAGCTTGTTTCGATGCAGGACTGTAAACACAAAATCACACACTGTTATTGTGTGTTTGCTTAAAGCTTTTTGTCGTTTCAAAGTTAGGAGTTAGGAGTTAGGAGCATCAGGCTCTCCAGTTAGGTATTATTTAACCATTGCAGAAGAAGAGGATACATTTCAATACTTAAAAGAGTGTCACAATCCCACCTCATTCGTTGACAAAACACGATAGAAATATAACATTTATGGTTTTCCCCAAAGCATTAACTTTTTAATCCAAGCCAAACATACATTTATTGGGATATATCAACTTTTTTTTCAAAATTGTAAAAATAAATTGCACATCAGTTAAACAGGTGGATGTAAAAAGCATTTCATGTAGCAAATATTTTAAAAGAGGAACATTTTACAATTGTAATTTTGCTAATTCTCTTACCCAACACACGCTGAATTTACACAAATAAGCTCCAATTCAAAGATGACTCCAAT